GTGCCGTTCGCACGACGTCATGGCCGCCGTTTCATCTTCCAGGATGACAACGCAAGATGTCACAGGGCCAGGATCGTTACAGGTTACCTCCAACAACAGAACATCACCACATTACCTTGGCCAGCACTGAGTCCCGACCTCTCCCCCATCGAGCATGTCTGGGACATGCTTGGACAGAGGTTACGTCAACGTCAACAACGTCCTGCCAATGTCCAAGAACTTGCTGCTGCGTTGCAACAGGAATGGGACAATCTGGACCAAAATGACCTTAGACGTCTCATTAGGAGTATGCCACGTCGGATCAATGCTTGTTTGGCAAACAGAGGAGGATTCACCCGTTACTGACTTGGTTGTGATACTGTGGTAACTTTGCTGTTTGACCCCGGGTATCATTTTACCCTTATAATGGTCAGTCTGTGCCTTACTTAGTCTAACGATCATTTGGAATAAATCGATGAATGTGAACTTCATTTCATTTTGTCATTTGTTTCTTCGTCAGTTTCATTAGGTGACTTTAATAACAATTAAAAATCAAATATCCCCTACTTCTTTTGAATAGTATATTTCGAGCCCCGGAGTTAAACACAAATGTGAAACTAGACAGAATATCAAATGACTTAAAAATGATAAAAGAGATCGGAACTCAAATAAACATAGCAATATCCGATGAAGACATTGTAGGGCGTCACGGTTGGGTAAAAAAACGAAAGATGGAACTAGCGAATTAAGGAGACCCTTGTTAGTCTCTTTTAGCAACGAGAACGTGAATAAAAAACATCCAAAAAAGAAAAGAAAATCAACCTAGACTCTAAAACGCTGGCTGCTATAGGAAAGAAGCACAGATGTTGGAAAAGATTCATGGAAACCAGAGATGATAAATGATATGAAGAGTACAGCAAAACAAGAAACCAAGTGAAAAATCTTCCACGCAAGGCAGTTAAAAATAAAGAAATATAAATAGCTAAAGAAGTTAAGAAGAACCCCAAGAAATTCTGGCAATACACACAGTCTAAAACTAAGACACGGATAGGCATATCTGATTTAAAAATGGAACCACAAAATGGGTCAGAGAGACTTACAGCTAATGATAGAGACAAGGCAAACACCCTATCCAGTTTCTTCTCACGTGTCTATACCACCGAAAACCCTGATAACATCCCAACAATAGAGAAAAAACAAGTAAGCATAAATATGGATGATATAGAAATTACAGAGGAAAAGGTTAAAAAACGGCTTTCTGACCTAAAAATCGGCAAATCTCCTGGTCCAGATAATATGCACCCAAGATTTTTCCATGACTTATGTGGGGAGATCGCAAAACCCATATCAATCATCTTTAATAACTCAATTAAAGTCATGGATATCCAAAACGAAGGGCGCGAAGGCTGCATCAAAACACTGTTCAAAAAGGGAAATAGGAAATTGGCAGAAAACTATAGACCGGTAAGCCTTACTTGCATCTTATGTAAAGTATTGGAACATTTTATTAGAGACCATGTAGTAACCACATTAAAACTAACCTGCTCTTTTCAACTAGACAATTCGGCTTTATCTCTGGAAGATCAACAACACTGCTCCTATTACACGTACTAGGCAGGTGGACTGAAATACGGGATACTGGAGGGAGCCTAGATTGTGTATACCTGGATTTCATGAAGGCGTTTGATAAAGTGCCACACCACCGCCTACTGTTAAAGCTGTCGACTAAAATGGATTAACTCGTTTCTCCAGAACAGATGGGTCAGAGTTATGAATAGCTATTCCGAGTGGTCACCAGTAACTAGCGGAATCCCACAAGGCGGTGTTCTTGGACCGATATTATTTGTCATATACATCAATGATCTACCAGACAACATACAGTCAGAATGTTACATGTTTGCTGATGACACAAAAGTCTTCCAAGAAATAGATGAAATAAATAATGTGGAATCCCTACAACAAGATATGCTGGAACTAGAAAATTGGTCTTATAAATGGGTACTCAAATTCCATCCCGACAAATGCAAGGTACGGACTACAGGAACGAGAACTTTACTACCATACGAAAACAAGCTGTGTGACACCAAACTGAAATATACAGAGAATGAAAAGGGTATTGGGGTAATTGTTGACAATAAAAAAAAATTTGAAGACCACATAAGTGAAAAAATAAACAAAGCCAATAGCATAACGGTCCTTCGCATACTTAGGCCAAACAACATTCCAACTACTGTACAAAACACTAGTCCGCCCACAACTTGAATATGCAATTCCGGTATGGAACCCCTATAAACTGAAACACATCACAGTGATAGAAAACGTGCAGAAAAGAGCTATAAAGCTCATTCCAGGATTTAAAAACATAGGTTACGATGAAAGACTGAGGAAGCTGAAACTCCCAAGACTAGCATACAGACGTACTCGAGGTGACATGATCGAGACCTATAAAATAACATCAGGAATCTATGACAATAGTCTGTCACAACTGTGTCAACTACACCCAGATACAAACACAACCAAAACAAGAGGACATAGTAAAAAAAAATCTATTTAAGAAGATCAAACAAAAATAAAATATCAGGAAAAACTTTTTCACAAACAGCGTAGTACAACTATGGAACAATCTACCTGACAGTGTAATAACGGCAAAAAGTACAAAAATATTTGAAAAACGTCTGGATAAACATTGGATTAATCAAGAACTTCTGTATGACGTTAAATCCAACCGGATTACCCAAAATAAAATAAGCGAAACGGACGATATGGATCTGAGTACAGTGGCCAACGGCTAGCTCTCAGAAGAAGATCTGTAAGTATCTGTAAGTAAATATATCACCGCCACACCATAACGATGTTTGAGTTCGAATTTCGTGAAAATCGGACCGAAACTATCGGTCAAAAAGTGTAAAAGTATGTCATATCAAGGTTGTGGGCCCTCTAGAGGTCACAATTTTGATCCGATTTTGATGGAACTTTAACCTTATGTTATATCCCACAGATCTCGGTTCCATACGATGTTCGTGCATATCGGAACGTAAATACCTGAATTATAGCTCCCTATTGTTCGAAAATTCACGTTTTTAGCTTGTGGACACTCTAGAAGTCACAATTTTTATTCATTTAAGAAAAATGTTTAAAAATACATGTATCACCGTTACACTTCAGTGACGGTTGAATTCAAATTTCGTAAAAATCCGACAGAAACTGCCGGACAAAATGTCCGCTCCTTGTGCGCAAGTAGTCTAAAAGTATGTAATACCAAGGTTGTAGACCCCCCTCTAGAATTTACGATTGATCCTTTCGATACTCGCGCATATCAGACCGCCACTTCCTGGATTATGGCCTTTAAATTGTTCGAAAAATCGCCTTTTTAGCTTGTGGAACCCCTAGAGCTCACCCTTCCACCCCAAAATCACGAAGATTCACCAAAGTTCCAAAGAACCCAATATATATTGCACCCGAAAAGCTTATAACATCTGTGGGTTTTTTTCAGTCTCAGTTAGTTTTTCTACAGCCATTATCTGTAAAGTGTCATTATTTGGGTTTGGCTAAGTGGGTAAGCCACTGGCTCGCTAGTCGGGAGGTCGCGGGTTCGCTCCCGGTGTTGGCCGAGAAAGTGCATCGGGATTAACTGGCGTGGCTTCCCCTTGTCAGTAGTACGGGACAAAGGGCCTGACAAGGACAGCTGTATAGTGGTTCGGATGGGACGAAAAACCGAGGTCCCGTGTACACATTGGCGTGCACGTAAACGATCCCATGGCAGTTGGAATTCGATACAAGAGTAGGTCGTAGTGCCGCTGTCCGGGCAAAATTAGCCCAGTCGGGACAGAACAGTATGGCGTTAAACCCCATTTCATTTCTTCAATACCGCTGCTCGCGTCAATGCGTTGTTAAAAAGACTTGTGGGTAACTCGTGATATATGGATTTTTGTTTTATATTTGTGTGTATATATTTATGATCAGAGAGGAATTCATCACCCGTCTGTAACTCTGGAGCCAAATTTCACTAAAGAATAGTACAGCTCCTTAGTTTAAGCGGTAACAAATGTCGAAGATTGGGACATATTGATGACGTCACAATCTGTACGGAACTCCTTATGGGCTTCAGATAAAAGGTTGCCATAATGTATTAGTCGTATCGAATGACCTCTAGAATGATCTCCAGTCTATCTAATGATATGACCTAATTTGATTGTTTTTGTCTTTTCCCCAAAAGAACGATCTGGAGGGGCAGAAATCTTTGGTAGAAGTATTCATCATACATGACAGCACATTGCCCTACACCGATTATTTCAGGTTTTGTCAACTAGTTATCCATTTGTTGGCCCCCTAATTTTATTTTTGAAGCATGATATATAGGTCGAAGACGCAAAAGCGTAGTCAACCCAAAAGTACTGACTGGGAAGAGTATTATTACGTCGAACTTGTGAGGCTGAATTTTAATGATATTTTGGAGCTTTGTGTGGCATATGTTTAGTAAACATTTCTTAATGTAAGCATCGTGTACAAAATCTACTTGATATAAATTTACGGGTTCCTAAATCAATCACCATATCTTCCCATACTAGGAACCAAGTTCTACAGAAACGCGTTATACATTAAGTGACTATAGTGTAAGATGCCACTTCATATTTGTGTTATACAATGCCCAGAGCCGCTTGGGAAGGCAGCCCAATTACTCGCCATGTTTAAACGAGTGATTGAAACCACAACCGTTGTTACGGTAATAAACAAAGTCTCAATTATCCATTTTTAAATTGAATCATTATCTACCAATCGTATTTAAATCTGTTAAAAATCTCGAACATCCGGTGACATCGAGAGTTGATTATGTAACATGTAAACGACACAACAAAACAAATAATTATTCAATGAACTCTCTAAACTGGGAAATTACGGAAACGTTAGATATTCAATGAAAGTATTACTTTCGAGGTAGTAGGCATACTCTGCTTTGTGCAGAATTCTCAAGCCAATAACATTAAATAACGAAACACGTAATAATAGCAACCAATACATAATTAAACTCTGGACATATTATCCAACATTTTAATGATAAATTATATAGATTTGATTAATAAGGAAAACAATAAAAGCTTAAAGGCAATATTAGTTCTTATGGTGTCTATGGCGGGATTTCGAAAGGCCTGTGATGAATTCTGATTTCGTCAATTGGCCGTCGGCTGAAAAAGAAGAAATATAGGCTATATCACTAAGAATTTGTAACATACAATCAACCATTAATAAAACAAAAAAGGATCAGTAATGGCCCGTGTCAGAAATATCACACCATTATGATCTCGTTAGCACAAAAATGTTATTGAAGTTAAAGGAGCTAAGTCTCTAACTCAATATTTCCATAATATTCGAAAATATAAGCACGAATTAGAATTCAATATTGATCAATTTCAATCAATACTTGTGTTGTTATCTTTCCATGAAAATATTTATAAAAACAGTACACAAGTCATGTATTCCATGGTTTCGGACTCCATTATGAACAAAGAACAACGTGTCCTACAAAACAATGCAGAATTAATTAGTAATAGGTGATTCACAAACGACAAACTAATAATAAAAAACGTGTAGATAGACCAGGCAGTCGTAAACGACCGAACATACTTGATTAGAAATTACAATAAATCTTTTAAATATTGAATATAAATCACTATACACATTCATATTACATAAATATCTGCTTTTAGACCCATTTAAGGTTCAAAAGAATAGAGCCATTACGCACTTTACTAATAATGACCAGCCAATGCTATTTATATTCTACAGCGTCTAGTCTGAGATGAAAAAACCGAGACCCCGTGTACACGTTGGTGTGCACATAAAATAACCATTGACAGTTGGAATTCGGAATAAAAGTAGTCTATAGCGCCGCAGTTTGGTCAAAATTTATATCGCAGCACCACTGTATGTCCTGTGCTTTTCTTCTTTTGCTCAGTCGGTGCAGAACAGAGGGACATTAAACCCCATTTCATATCATTGACATATATTCTATATTAAGATGAATGACCAGACAGTACATTGTGGAAGGAACACGCCAACCAGGACTGTAATAGTTAACGAAATAATTATAAAATAATGGACAAAAAAGTAAAATCTGCGAACTTTCATTTTCTAATTAACCTAAGATCTGTCCTCGTCGCGATATGAAACTGGAGATAAAATAGTCTGATGTAAATCCTAATTTTTACTTCGTCCCGTTTTAAAGATAGATTTAGTTTTTTGAACTCATTAACCTAAATGTTTTTAAAAACTACTGGCACGAGATATTCTCATGATAACCACGCCAATTAATTGAATTATTACTACTACTATATACTGCTACTACTATAATAATAGGAGTTTGCGTCCGCTTCCACCTAGGGTGATGATTCAGACTATAGTACAAATACAAACCAGAGTAAAGGAGGCGGCAGACGGTGATTCAGCCATTTTGGCGCTGGCTTGTTAACCAGGAGGACCCGATGTCGACTGAGGAAGTTCCTCGATTCTTTCAGTCTGGTTTTCTGAGCAAGGAAAGGACAGCCAGTACAGTCATTCATATCGGACGAAAAACCGATGTTCAGGCGGGAAAGCCGCTGTCCTTGCGGAATAATCCTTCACTAGGCCGGTTGGTGCAGAAAAGTAGGGTGTTAAACTCAAATTCAATTCATTTACAGATCCAACAAAATCAATAACACGGTGTAAAATCTGCATTTAATGAAGATCGTTGCTGTACCAATATTAATCCGTTCTACCCCTTATGTCTATTCCGAATATGGCTTGAGTATTTTTGTGCTATTTCGGCACATTCTTGGGGCGATTATAATAAAATATATTATTGAATTTCAATTTTAGTTACTTGAGTCATTTGTTGATTAGGCTGGAAAAATAAAATATCGGCTCAAATTATATGTTTTTATACTCATTCATAGAAGACGGCTGTTATGTAACGAGAATGCGCAAAAGCGGAGTTAAAGTTGCATATTGTGTACTGGTATTATTGTGTGCGAATAACCATCAAAGGATTTTAAGTGTGAACGGGGAAATAACACGATGAGCTGTATCTTAATCAGACTGGCTAAAAGAAATATAACACAGTTAGCTGATGGATGGGCATCCATGCAGGTGATATCATAGTAATGTAGATAATTGCTGCAGGTTTTCACAATGGGATGATCATCAATCTTATTGTCGTTATGACAAAAAAGATGAAATACGAAAGAAGTCATTTAAATGAAGTAAATCTGAGCTTACAATTTTGCCGTTGTTTAGTAGCAAGATTAATAATATTATAAACAGGCAGGTGTCTAAGCCTCAGTTGTGATATGGATGAAAAGAAAGGGGTTTTTAACGTCCTACTTTGCTGCTCCAATCGGGCTAATGGAGACGAGCATACGCCTTGCAGTACGCAATGGGGGGGGGGGGTGAGTTTGCCCACACAGGGCGCTACGGCCTACTCTTTTATCGAATTCCAACTGCCACGAATTATTTTATGCACACACCAATGTGTACATGATGGGACCTTGTTTTTTTCTTCCCATCTGAAAGACTATACGCTACCCCTTGCCAGGCCACAGTCCTGCACCACTGACAAAGGAGAACCACGCCGGAAAGTCTCGATGAACTTACTCGGCAAAAACCGGGATCAAACACTAAGCCACCGCGGCTCCCATGACACGAATGACTTTGTTTCTGGTGAGAATATAAAGCAGGCATATCAAACCATCTTTTCTTTTAGATTTATTTTTTTTTTCATTGTACATTCTCCCGTCCAAACCGGAAATAATAACTTGGGATAAAGTACACGTCAGAATTATGGACGTATATTAAATTTAAAACCCTAACTTTTGACCGGATGAGGTATCTACACAACCAATCGGTAAGTGTGCGATGGGAACGATAAAATGATTCCTGCGAAATATACCTGCCAAGAGCTGGGTCCGTATTCAAAGTTTTCCTATAAGTTGTGTAAAAATATTTACTTTTTCCACTTAACTATGTGTGTTACCTTAAATCTGTATTCAAAGGCTGTATGTTACATTTCCTTGGCTATGTGAAAAACTTAAATTCCCGCAATTGCCAAAAAGCATGAATTTCAAACTTATGGAATACCTAGCACTGCCAAAAATCACAAATTTCTAACTTACGCAAGTTATGTCTCCTTAAGAGCACCACTATACACTGTCTGTCTACAATTAGCTCCGCTTGAGAACAGACAATAAGCTAGTTGAACGACATTTTAATTCCTAAATCGACGATTGTAGTCGAAAACTTTAAGTATACTGCGATAATTTTGAGAAATATATATTCCGCTTCAATTTAATATCAATGAATAGTCTTTGTGTGTATGTTAGATATGAAACGGAGTAGAACCACATTACAAAATGGTATACTATTTTTGGGATATGGCGGCCATTTAGGGCAGCGATCTATTATCGAAGAAGATAGTTGTCTGTGTGCAGAATGCCTATACTCTATTAAAATCGTAGTTGCCATTACTAGGAAAATGTTTGTCGAAATATTATATTGTAACGCATGAAAATTATAACAGTACGCATTCTTTGCAGGAACCGTTGTTTTCGTAGATTTTGATAGAACATTCAATTTCAATAGATTTCAATTACAGTTATCGAATAGTGGTAGTATAATGGCGGATATTGTGAACTTTATTATTTTAAAAATGTGAAACGAATATAAAACAACATCTTAGCAATACGCAGGGCCTTTTGGTTTTAAAAGTCAGACTGAACACATCATTCAATGAGCAATTCATTGAAATTCTGTCAGTACCTACACTTTAGAACCCCAAAGCCTTACGGTGTTGATGGTACATTGCGTGTACGAAAGATGCACGTGACATTATTTTCTACCTGTAGAAATACTACCGATTAAAACGCAATAAGTAATACAAGAAATTAATTGTAAAATATTGGTGGCACCTTGCGGCCAGCAGTCGTTATCATATATTTGTAAATTTATATACAAACGAAGGCAAGAACATGTTGCAAACAATACTACTGCCAATTCGCGGCTAACATCAACTATGTATATGGGAATCAGTTTTAAAAAATAAATCATGCCTTGCTTCTCATGGTAGTATAGATTTTTGTCGAAATCTACAACGAAATGTCATCGCAATGTCAAATTTTACAAATGAATTTAACGCATTAAACTTTATTTTATGAGAGCCGTGTATATAAGCAATACGAAAAGGATAAAAATGATCGGAAAGAAAATATCCTTGACCATTTCGATGGTTGTAACCTTATACACTATTATAACACTACAACTTCAAAGCTGGCGATGAAAAATAAAAGTCGGGGGCCAGCTACGCTCGGCGACATTGTCTTTTAAAATCGCCAGTCGGTTAAAAGAAGTCATTATAATGTCACTTAACCTTAAAGTACCTCCCATGGGTCACTTAAAGTTAAGTGGATTTTTCTCATTTAAACTGGCCTTTGAACACCACTAAAAGACTAAACACTCAAAAGGTAAGGCAGCTTAACTTGTGGGAAAATTTTATACTTAACATTGCCTTTGAATACCACTTAGAGGAAGTTAAGTATGTTGAAGTGAAATCTAGTAGTTAGGTGACTATCTTAGACGGATCCAAGAAGACGAACCTTTAACCTAATTTGCGATCCTTTTAAAGGAATCCAAAAAGGGTGATCACATTTTAATTAGTTAAAGCCATCCCCATTATTCAGACCTACGTCATCTCATAAATTAAAAAGGGCCGCAATATAAAATTTAAACATAGCATACCATTCTGATCCCACAATAAGAAGGCGATAGGCATCTGTAAACCAATAGCATGTCGAATATCATTCACAGTTGGCAGGTTATCATTTGTTTCCGGAAGTGTATCATCGGTGTCTTCTATATCATCGCTGTTCTCAGATTCACTGCGTCCTATTCGTGGATATGCGACGCCTTGGCTCTTGAAGTAACCTCCGCGACCTAATCTTGGATAATTCGAACCGCCACCGGCTGTGAATCTTCGTTTGTAAATATCTGTATTTAAAGTTCCGACATGATTGCCTCCTGAACGTCCTATTCTGGGATATGTGTTTTCGTGGCTGCTTGTGAAAAAACTACGTCGTCCTATTCGGGGATAGTCATTGTCTTTACTGGTGGTGTAGAACACCCCACAACATGACGTAGCAAACATGCAACACACTAAAAATAATACTTCCTGTCTCATTTTGACACACACTCTCTATATAAATCGTTCTGAAAATATAGAAATAGATATCAAGTAATTTTGCAAACTGATGAATAAGCCAATTGATGAATTCTCATTAACCGATAAACCATCAAAAGTGTAATAGAATAATAACCGATATATCTACCTTAAGAAGAACCTTATAGAAAGCGTCTGTATAAATAGTTTTTATCAAAACCCCTCGAAAATGTGACACCACATAACCAATTTAAACTTTATGAGGAAACAGTATCAAGTCGTAATAACATACAGACGAATCAGGAGCACCTTCCAAGAGAAGTCCGTTTTCGTGTTATCGGGGGCGTTGGGTGGCCGAATGATTTGCACGTGCGTTCTGTATCATAAGGTCTGTCATTGAGTCAACTGGTGTGGTTTTGATTCCCCGGTTGTACGTGACAAGGAGTAGGGTCGCCTGTCCAACCTCGTGGGTTTTCTCCGGGTTCTCCGGTTTCCTCCCACTGCTAAAGACCCCTATGCGCAAGCGAATTGAAATAAAATTAACCATATGTTAGTCCCGAAATGACCTAGTTTGTCGAGTGGACGAAGAAAGCCAATCATAGTATTAGTATTACAATGGTCAATGAGTTGATAATGCCCGTAACCATTGCTACAATGAATATTTGTTGGAAATATCATTATGGAATATTTCATTGAACAAAAATATTTTTTTTCGGGAGGCGTTTAGGAGTTCTTTGCCGCTATGATTTTAGCTCATTTCAGCATAAATTTCAATAACAAAAACACCATTAGCCCAGTCGGTGTAGACAAGTAGGGCGTTAAACCCTATTTGAGACACATTAGCTACAGATAGCCACAAACACCTACACATAAATGATCAAAATACGTGTGTCCCATGAGCATTTAAAACCACCGTCAATATCCTTATAATACCAGGAAAACAACTCTAAGTAACTTGATACTGCATGTTACAGATATATTCTTTTATCACATTTATGACGCTGTCAGTTTTCCTGCCCCAACTTGTTCAAATCAAACCATTTTATTATCTATGTGTACAGAACTATTCGATTCATTATTTATCATCCGTTTTCACCGTCAATTAAACATATTGCTTTGACGATAGTGTTTCATTACTCTGCTAAAATGTGTTGTACGTCCTGTTGATTGTTGACATGGAATAATAAAATTGGACGATGAGTAGTGTATATTGTAATGAGCAAATCATGAATATAATCCAATAGGTATTGCCATTGATGACAAGAATCACAATTATTATTTACCAGGTATTCCTCGGGGATGTAACATTGCATAGATACCTTTTATGACCCCATTAAACAGAGCATGATTGTTCTGTTGTGAATTACTAATAACAGTTCCTCTCAATAAAACGACATTGTTTAATATGCTTTCGCGTTTTTATTCCGACCAGTCAGTGGTAGACAAATTGGCAATAAGTAAAACTGATAAAGATGAACTTTGTGATTTCCTGCCTATTGTTGATCGACAAATAGATTATTTTTAAATTTCTATATGTTCACCTTCATGTCACGATGTCATTTAAAATAGCTGAATCATTTAAGACTTATGTTTATTTCAATTAAATATTTCGTTTATAACCATCGATATCTTAGGAAAAATCATTACACACTAATTTGTAAAAAAAACAACAACTCTGTTATTAAAGCTTTTTAATGATTATAGCTCTTTGTAAATGTATACATTTTATCTTCTACATGGTAGCTTTGGCGTCTAAGTTCCAGATCCAACCCATCGCTCAAGTTAGCTATAGATCTTATGAGTGTCATACACTATACAGGATATTCACTCTTTCTAGAACACTCGAAACTAGTTGTTGTGATTTTATACTTTTAGAGATAGATTTTGACTTTCAGCAAGAAACTAAATATGATTTCATTTAATTATTGCATCCCAAGCACTCGCACGGGTCGATTTAGAGTAAAGTTTTTTTGAACTCCTTGAAAAGGACTTGGGGCTACAGTATATACAACTCTTAATGAAACCTTAAAGATATGCATCCCAGTGATACAATGAAAGATCTGCATTCAATCTAATTGGAAAATCTCAAATGTACAGTTAAATCACGGTTAGTTGAAAATTGTATTTTTGGTGACCACTGAGATATAAAGAGTATCAATCGCTCATTAAATATTAGCATAAGCAACCGGGCGCTGAAGCGGTGGTCTCTTAAACAGATTGTCAATCATCAATGTCACGGGGAAGCTGTGAAACGTTCCATGAAAGAAATGGTTCTCATCATGGTTAATTTCAAATTTATATGAAACTGCATACACCAGACAACAGTTTATGGGGCGTATATTCCCCATGGTACTCGCTCAGTTCGATTAATATTAGGTGTTTCATAAATTACCGGGCTCGATTTCATATCACTGAATCGTGTGATTACTGGCTTAGGCATCATAGTCTAAACAGCCAATCAGCGACAGCTGTTCTGATCACGCCAAGACCTAGTCAACTAATCTATTTGTAAAATCTTTGCATACTCGGCAAACCTCGGAAAATTCCGGTACCCTACATCTAGCCTCGGCTGTATGACGTGCATAATAACACAGATTGGCGAACTGTGTCTGTTTTGAATATGTAATAGATCTTGTGTAGTGAAGAAAATTAGAACCTTAAGAACGAGACGACAGAATTTTAATTTGGATTGCTTACCAGGGCACGCTTATTCAGGGCCGGAGAAAAATCTCAAAGCCTATTATATGAATGATCTCAAATTTTCTGACGAAGTGGTGGCACTAGAAACATATATATATCTACCAGCGGAGTTCAAGCCAAAATCAAAATTACCAACAGAACAGAGTCTGTTTTGGTGTAAAAGGGGCTGTATTTGGTGCAATGGGGCCCCGAGTGTGGACTAAATTAGGTCCCAGAGAATGACCTTCAAATCTAATTTAGAATCTCTCGGTCATCCAGTGGAACTTTTGGTCTTGTACCCAACCCATGAGTGGTCCCACTTTGACCCCCACCCCCCAACACACCCCGAGGTCTGTGTAAGATTTGTACATGTGAACTGAAAGGAACACCTTGAGCCGTAGTTTTGGGTGCGATGGTAGGCGTTCGTTATTTAGGTTCCCAGAATCTGATGTTATAGAGCACTAACACTGTTCTGACTTTTATTCGTATATTACCAATATTTGCATAGTAACTTTGCTTCATAACCGTAATATAACTCTTTGTCTTGGTTTGGAATTAACATTTTTTACGCAGGCATCTTATTTGTCACACATGTTTGATAATCAGAAATATATATGAAGGTTTAGAGAGAGAGAGAGAGAGAGAGAGAGAGAGAGATGGGTTTAACGTCAACTCGACACAAACTAGGTCATTTCGGGACTAACACATGGTTTAATTTTATTTCAATAATTCGCTTGAAAGGGGTCTTTTGCAGTGGGAGGAAACCGGGGGACCCGGAGAAAACCCACGAGGTTGGACAGGAGACCCTACTCCGTGTCACGTACAACCGGGGATTCGAAACCACGCCAGTTGACTCCATGACAGACTTTATGGTACAGCGCGCACGTGCTAAACATTCAGCCCCCCCCCCCCCATGAAGGTTTCGCCCCAAAAGTTTTCAAATTTAATTTTATGACAGATATTTGTGCAACTATTCGTTTGAATTGTGTATGGTTGTATAGTGTATTATATTGTTTATTGGTCACAGAGCGTTTATGCGAATGGAACCACGTCGATTCGGTTCCCGGTTTTCATATGTTACCTATTTTATAGCTGCTGTCCGGCAGCTAATCTCAAAATATCTAAACTATTTATTTCCCCAATTTACCGGGAAAAAGACCAACCTAACCCCCATTGAATTTTAAATACCAGCGTATCTTGGTGCTGTTATAGGATTACTTCTATTCAGGCAATATGTGTTCTAGATCATGTTAATGCTCTAAATAACCAAAGACAGAATGGTCATATAATTATGATACTGATCTTTCATATTGACCCTAGCCGCTCAAAACATTTAATTCTAAAAAGAAAACGTCATTACTAATATTAAACATACATTATGCAAGAGCTAAATCTGTCTATTGCAGGTCTTTCTTTAGGCCTGAAATGTTATCTAAATTATTAATTAGATATTAATTAACCTATCCAGACCATAATCAACTCCAGATGGCATCGCTAGCCTGCTATCTTTAGTGGATTATGAGCCGATTTACTGCATAACTTTCCTTCATGATTTAACGATTAAATGGATAATCGAGACTAGGCTGTTTATTGTACTGACTTTAGTAATGATTATCGAATCTCCCATAATGTATCTTTAAGCTAAAATTTATAAACAAAGTTGTTTTGAGAAACTACGTTAATGTTCTTTTAACTCCAATCATCATAGAAAAAAGTATGAAATCTTATAGTTCTAGAAAAATAGTTAATACCTGTATTGTTGTAAAAAAATCCCGACAATTATTTAGACTATTGATGGTTAATCACATCAAATATAATTTTCTTTACATAAACCAGTACAAAATATTTCCATAATTCAATTTTAAGAAATTTGTAATACAGAAAATGGCACGTGGCTTTAGTACATTTTCCAATTTCTTAACATGTATTGCATTTCACTAACTTTATCTTTGTCTTTCAAAAGAAATTATGTTTTCCCATCTAGAAACAGAAAATAATAGTATCCATTCAAACGTATGATAATTTAAGAATAAAAAGGGGATGTTCTATGAATTTCTAACTTAATTTTAAATAGATTTGTTGGAACGAATTTAGTTACAGAACGGAATGTCCAAAAAACAGAAATCAATTATTCCCGTTGTAAGATGTTGGTTCATTTCGGTGTTTGGATCGGCGGCAAAAAATGGACCTAATAATACAATTCTAATAATCGGTTTTATTGACAATCGTTCGGTTGAAAAATTCGAGTGAAACAAATACATGAATTGGCGAAAAAATAATATAATACTAGTAATGTTGATCGCTCATGACAAACATCACTATTTAATCAAAATAAAATTTTATGTCGGCGTTTCGTTCGTTTATGAGGCTGTTAATATTTCTCTAAATGTTAATATAAACGGAACGAAAATAAAATCTAATTTACTTGTACATTGGATTGTACATTATGATTGAAGCGACAACCTTTGATCGTTAAAGAAAGCTGTTGTAGATTTCACCATTCATTGTTCAAACTGAATTGTGCTGGAAATCTTTGACCGACAACCCCGTGTTGGTACTTTAAATTTATATACAGATCACAATTCTATGGAATACAATTACTGCTTATTACTGAGCGACGTTTTGACTAGGATTCTCTATAGTCATTATCAAATTTATAGTCTTGTAAAATACGACTAAGTGGCCATTGTTTGGAGTTTGAATAACAGATTAATTCTATATCAGATTCATTTCAATTACGCTGTATGAAACGTGAAATATATTTTTGTGAAAGTCACAATGGCTCTGTCAGATAATGAAGCCAAATAAATAAAATATGCATGAATAGAGCACTGGCAGTCCCAAGTGACCAAGCGAATAATGGTTATTTGCGCCGGATTTTCTAAATATGTTTAAAACCTTTGTTTTAGACTTTTTTAAAATAAAGATTTCAAGAAAAGTTGAGATGAAAGAATAACAAGCTACATTTTACGATTGAGATTACAGCCGAGTTCAACTGAGATGCAAAACATGGCCGCATTCTAACTAAAATGTTGTGACAATGGTATAAGATTTTACAGAACAAAGTAGCATTTCAATAAACATCTATGTTTTTCCACTTCTCAACATTCTATCTGATTCAGAAGTTGATCGTTAACGTATTTAATAAGCAGACTTACACAGAAGATTTACACATACAATATTCCTTAAGCAATAAGACTTGTCTTGTATATTAATTTTAAAATATACACATAATTACATTTTAAAACCATTAGAATTCGCCAATTTTTACAAATAAACTTATAAAAATATATAACCATACCTGTCCTTGTTTACGATGGTTCCCCGTTCCCTATATTTGATGTAGTAATACCTCTTTCAAGTTAATGAAGTTCAGTAGAAACTGTAAGTTTTAAATAGGCTGGCCGCGCAGGAATGGTTAAATGGTAGGCGTGCTAATCGAGTAGGCAACACATCCTAACACCTACAAAACGTATGCACATTTTGTTAAAAGCCCTGTTGATCCAATCAGAGATCGCTACGGTAATAATATCATAATGCAGCCAGGGCGTTATTTATAATGATAGAACTACAAACAATGTTTGATTTGATTCTGATAAAAGTGTATCAGAATATAGCTGTTTTTTTATTATATCAATGCTCGTTTAAACATTTATTATACATCATTACCATACAACATTCTTTTAAAAATCACGACCCTTTTAATAATACCAATTAAGAGTTCTGAGAATACATTTGTGACCACGAAATAAAGTGCATACCAAGTTCTTATATACATGCAGTAACCATTTACAACACACATATTAATAGGTGTGAAAATTTCATTAAATACTATGAAAGGAAATTGTATCATTATTGTACGTTAATTAACACGTGGGTTTGTAGTTGACAGTGGTAACGACTATTTTAGACTTCAAACAGTTTCTTGTCGATAAGAAAAAGAGAACTACTACAATATTTTTTATAGTTGTTTTGAACACATCTTATATAAATTTTGATTGTGTTTTCCGTTGTTCTTATAGACCATGTAGTTAAATCAGTCATGCCCATTGAACACATAATTGAATCTTTTATTTTGAAAACACCTTTATTCCGATTTCATGATTTCAGATACATAGAAACGATCACATTTCTATTTATATGATCTTCCAATAACGAATTCCATAAATTATATTCAAGAATTTTCATAAGTATTTATTCTGCTTCCATTTAAATAAATCGAAAATGTCTATTTAGTCTTTTTGCTTATCAATGATGGCGGCCATTCAGGGCAGAGAACTATTCTCAAAGTAGATAGTTCTCTGTGTGCAGAACGGGGGTACCATTTATCATGCGTTCACGGGATTTTACTTTCAGTTCTGAATTGAACTATCCTATTACAAGTTTCCCCTTGTCAGTGATGCAGGATGGAGGGCCTGACAAGGACAGCTGTCTAGTCGTTCGGATGGGACGAAAAACCGAGGTCCCGTGTACACATTGGCGTGCACGTAAAAGATCCCTTGACAGTTGGAATTCGATATAAGAGTAGGCCTTAGCGCCGCTGCCCAGGCAAAATTTCCCTCATAGCACACTGTATGGCGTATGCCCGTCTTCATTAGCCCAGGTTAGGAGCAGAACAGTAGGACGTTAAACCCCATTTCATTTCATTTCATTTCACAAATATTGTATCAATTCTACCGAAAATTTTGTTTTGTGTCATCCTCTGTGACGCTGGTGAGGACAGCAGACATGGGTTGTTGGGTAACGAATCATACGCAAACAGAAGCGAAGTCGTCCAATTAACTATATTTTCAACACATAGGATCGTAATTAAAGCCTTTCGAGCGCTAATAAGGGAGGGAATAACTATGAAAGGTTTTATCGAATGGTGTTGAATTTATAGCAGGGCAATAAAGTTCTAAAAGGGTTTAGTAATAGAAGAGCGTAACTCTAGGGGGATTATTGAAAACAAATTGAAAATACTTAGGTTTCTTCTTTTCAACGATATCAGTTTCAAAACGAAATGATAATGGATTATTGTAGCATATAATGTAATAATATAACTAGAAATGACAATTACAAACTGGCCAACGCAGACTTCTTATAAATAGAATAGACAAACAAATTAAATATTGTTTATAAGGCATTTAATGATAGGACTAACATTGAAAAAACACAACACAACTTTATGGTTAACAATCACTAGCAACTTTAATAGTGCAACGTTTCAACAAGTGTCCTCTTGTCGTTATCAAGCACAGGGTAAAAACGATTGATAACGACAAGAGGACACTTGTTGAAACGTTGCACTATTAAAGTTGCTAGTGATTGTTATCCATAAAGTTATGTTGCGTTTTTTTAAACAAATTAAAGATTGTAGTCTCAAAACTCTGGAGATGATTACCAGGTTACCAGGACTAAGACAAAAGAAATATGTGCTTCTGCTTAAAGCACCCCCTCCACCCCCCTTTGGATGTAAATTTTTATTTACTTCTTTGTCTAGAATCGAAGAAGGATGAATGAATTTCCATTTTTAGCCAGGCATTGGTTAATATTCATGAGTTAACAGTAAACAGACACGAATAAGCGTGATGGTTATATTTAAATGCACTTCACTGATTACAGACTCCTTTAACCATGCAGGTCTAACAAAAAATCGAAATGGTAAACCCCTATCAATATCTCTTTTACTAATATGTTTTATGTTTGTGGTTTTAAAGATTAAGATGTTAAAACAAAGTTATAGACCAAGAAATGTCCTGGATTTAACACTGCAGTCAACGGGGAGAGAATTACTAGTCCATACTTTTAGTAAGACAGGCAACCCATTTCAATTTCAAAAATATATATGGACTATTGTAGTCTCTATTAAGCCAAAAAGAAATGTGAACGACTGGCGCCAATATACGTATAAACATATATGAGAGCAATTTGTAATATAGGCCTTATATTACACCAAGCGCAAAATGGCATCTTTCAGCGGTAATTTTCACACACATGTAGCTAATTAAGAGCTATTAAGTAGCAAATCAATAGCACACAACATAACCTTTGCATGTATTTAATTTATAAGCTACCCGGTAGCATAATAGCTTTCGATTTTAAAACAATAAATGTAGAGAAACTGCTAAGTTAATAGATTGATTTCTTTATACATTTAAATCAGACATGTTTAAATTTACATATTTGAAGTTTATATATTATAATTATTTAATTTTTCCAACTGTAATCCCAATCGTCGCAATTACTGTTTTCACCCGCATATACCAATGTAGGAAGATGATATCAAATTGTAGTACTGTCATTGTATTACTGTCATCGTTTGCAAGTTACACCATTTCAGATTTAATAAAACTCGCACAAATATCATTGCTAAGTGGATTTTTGTTTTTCTTTGGCGAATCTATTTCAGAGATCGCACATCACCATTCATCAAAATTTGCAAATAAAATGCCCATTTACCAAAGGAACACGCTATTTGATCGCTCAAATTACATTTCTAAAAAGCCGAAGTGTTGAATTTTTTGTCCGATAAATATCGCAAACAGTAACGACAACACTTTGGCATAACTTAGTTATATTCATAAAAAAAACACATTTCAAGCCGATGTTGTGTTGGTATTAACAGGAGAAAAAACGCTGCGGGGTTAATATTGAATTGTAGCTGTAAATGTAATAATGTAACCATATTGTAATATACCGTTTTGACAGGATATATCAACCAAAGCCTCTGAAAAGTTGCGTAACAATAGTCTAGTTAGATCACCCCGAAAGCCAATGGAATTTAGACTGTGGAGCTAGATAAATGTCATAACATTTCCATTGTATTGATGGCGAGAAATTAGGATTTACGTTCACACGATACAAATCATGCCATTTCGGGACTAACACGCCCTTGGATATGTTACTGTTAGCAGCAGGAAGGGGGGGTTAACATCCTTCTTTTCTGCACCAACTGGGATAACGAAGATGGCATACGCCTTGCAATGTGTTATGGGGGGAACTGTTTTGGTAAGTCGAAACCAGAATGGAAGATCCCGAGAAACTCCGGAATTAAAAACGGAACTCCCTGGTTAGTGATCCCCCACCCCATCATACTCATTAAGTCACCGTGGTCCAGCCAGCTAGAGCATGTTCATATAAAACAGACGTCCTCTCTCGAAAAAAATCTACATTGCTTTAACGCAGATATTTACCAGCTAAACTAAGGTAAACAATTTCTAAAAGACAACGTTAACATTTAATTTGCTTACATTTTCCAACGAAAGTAAGAACACAAAGAGGATTGACATGGAATAGACTGATTCGTTCGTTATGAATATGAATCAACGTTTCAACAAGATTGTTCTCTTGTCGGTTTGAAGCACAAAACGCTGGCCGAAACGTCGCAACTATATGCATAACACACCAGTGAGTGTAGTCCATATAACTAAAGGTCTCATTTCCAAACGTTTATCTTCGTCAACATGGACATAACAAGTCTGCGTCTTTTATCCTTTTTGACATGATTGTTCCATCAAAGTTTCAATATTGTAATTTATTGTACTCGTAGTAATGAATACCAATAACAGTGACCGGTGTAGAATCAATAAAAGTCAATTATAGTGAATCATAATTCTACTCGATATGTAAAACAAGGCGATATACATTTCTTTTTCTTCTTTTTTTTTTTAGAAAAACAAAAACAACAAACGAATACTTAATTGGCTGAAGAAAAAATGCCCAAGCTGGTGAAATAATGAGGTGTCTTTCATAGCAGTTTTGACCGATTATTGTGTGAATTTTCAGATGTTGCGTTTTCTCAAACTTAAAACAAACACAGGTGCCTTTTACACAAACGATTCGGCTTCATAAATTGTAATCGCCGCATAAATCTAGAAACGTATGAGGTGCTTCTATTCTCAAAGCTTATTATTACAATGTTTAAGTGAAAGACTGGAGTCTCTAGTGCACCACCATAAATTATAAATATCTCCAAATATCTCGACAATTAAACCACAATATTTATATATACCAAGCCTTAAATCAGTTTCGCACATTTATAAACGGTCATGTTGTACTTAATAAGCTATGACCCTTTACCCATCAATAAATAAAAGGCTAAATAGTGGTTACGTGTGTATGCCATAACATATGCAAACACAACACACAGCTGTAACAAAAATTGAATTTAGAAACACGCACGTTAGGCAACTCAACAATTGTTTTAAGAATCTTGTAAAAGTAAAATGAAACTACAGGTAGTATCATGTTCTTGCCTAACCCGAGTGTTTCAGAGATGTTATTTGTACTAAACCAAAAGATTATGCTCCTAACGGAATAGTTAATGATAAAGCAATTTAAAAATTAAAACGAACGCAATTTCTAAACGCTGCTGTAATAACTAAAAAGCTAAATATTACTGCTATTCAGAATAGCACCGCGTGACTAGCCAGAAATCACTTCGAGACAAGCCACTGAAGCGTGCACATTCGCCGGGTCGCGTTCAACTTTCAGTAGGAAAGTTTTG